ATTATCTTGAAGTTATACACCGCTTACGAGGAGCAATACGAAGATTAAGTCCGGTATTGTGGAAAAACAATTCATGGCTTTCAGATCACGATAGTTCACCTCCTCACTCGTAATTTCTTAGCCGAGAGCAACACCGAATCATGCCTCAGCCACAGCATTCACCAGATTTTACCCCCTGTGACTTTTTCCTGTTTCCATGATTGAAGAGACCCATGAAAGGATGGCATTTTGCAACAATTGAAGATATGAAAATCGAATCGCTAAGAGAGCTCAAGGAGATACCGAATGTGCATGTCAGAACTGCTTTGAAGATTGGGAAAAATGCTGGCACAAGTGTATGGTATTTGAGGGGGGGCTACTTTGAAGGGGACGAAATAGAAAATGAACAATAAGTAAATACTTATTGTTGTAGATCATGGCCTGAAAAAAAACGCCTGGCGCCGCTGGTAGCCATAAATCAATTGTGACGTTGCCTATACCGCGCCCAGTCCGGCCGACGTTTCACGGTTGTTCAATGTTCGCACCGGTTCGATGGAATTCCGACGAATATTCCACCGGCTTCCATGGATTCCTAAGGAATTTTCCACCGGTTTCGGGAAAGTTCGTTTGCCGCATATAAACGCTATCGACGAGCGTGTCGAGATAGTCAAGTGGAAGTGACAGTGCAGTACGCAGATCGATCCAATAAGGCGATAGACAGTTGAGTAATAGTTGAAGTTTCAGTTGAAGTATTTTGTTGAATTAAAACTGGAGTGAAGTTGAATTTGATTATTGTTCAGTGTGGTCAATTATTGCTAAACACACGGGGAAAACGTAACATTATTTTTTGAACAGACTTGGTATTTGTTTACAGGACGATAATACCTCATCCAGTTTGGCGAATCTCCCATTTTAGAAATAAACACGCTCATCATTTATTATCCTTAACATTCTCCATACCGCCATTTTCATTTTCATGACAGATGCAAAATCTCTCACCTCCCAGATGGGAAAATTAATGTGCCGAATAGGTAGAACGGTTTAATAATATTGGGAACTCCGACAAACTATAAAACAAACTACTGACTAGAAACTTTTCGAAACGAATAACGGAGGCAAATCTGCGAATGGAAAAACGAAGTTCTTGTCATGGATGAAAGATTAATGTTCTGAACATAATTCACGCTTTCCGAGCAGAGAATTCCAACATGTTTGCAGAAATGTACGCTGATTACTTATCAGTCTATCAGTTCCGCGAGATTCCGAGTATTAGGTTGTTTAGAAAGTTCTGCCCAGTTTAACGTCATATGTTTTTGTAGCTTCATATCTCAATAAATATTAATTCTACTGTTTCGTGGTATATATTGATAGATAGAGATCAATACATTGATTCGTTTTTATACTTATTGATGCTTATTACACTGTGATGTCGTTTCCGGCCAAGTTTCCTCTACGAATTCAAATTGAACCAAAGCGCTACCAACACAGCCCGAATGATAGTGTTGATGATTCTATTGTTCGACGTTGATGTGCAAAATTTCGTTCCAGAAATTTTAGCCCCAAAGGGGTCAACCTACAGGAATCCAGAACGAGGATTTGCGGACCCTGATGTAGACAGACCCTGGTGCTTGGGATGGAAGAACTAAGCGTCAGCTAACATGCGTTTTTGATGGTTCAAAACGTATTATGAAAGCCAAAAACTCAAAAAGTGGGTCTGTTCTTCTTCGAAACTAATTGATATAGTTCATTGTATGATTTTCACTATGAAGGGTTTCACAAAAACCGCGACACGTATTTCGCTATACGATAGCTTCCTCAGGCGTAAACTGTTTACGTTTGAGGAAGCTATTGTATAGCAAAACACGTGTCGTAGTTTTTGTAAAACCCTTTATAGTAGTATAGTATTGTTTTGCATCATGTTATCAAATAAAAGTGACCCATTTGGTTAACTGGCTGAAAATAGTATTCATGCACTATCTAAGTTGTTGAACACAGAGAAACCAAGAAAAGAGTCATCGTGTAGATATGACAACTTTGAACTATTGACCTAAAAGTAGTCTAGGTCTTTGGAAACGTTCTGCCCTTGAATGAATACCAGAGATTTTACATTAAGTATTCATCTCGTTCCGGAAATAGATTCGTTTTCTCACTTCAGTTCATTTGCGCGGAAAGTGTTGTTTCATTGAAATTCACATCAGATACGCGATGTTTTCCACTACAACTGGAATCGTGAATAGAAAACTGGAGGTACTTGCACTGAAGAGAATTTAAATAAATGTTATAGAGGCTGTTATTCCATTCGAGCACTGTTTACGTCGATGGACTCAAGGATAAAGATAAAAGACTTTTTGGAATGACCAACTACACACAGCTGCAATTCTGAGTCTGATATGAAAATCATACCCGAAACTTCACCCCCTGCGGTTAGCAACTATCCCCTTATTTTTTTCAGTGGCAGGGGGGTCGAGTGATACATCATTTGAAAGGTCTTTTGTCGCTCTATTACCTCTGTAATTTTTTTCGGAATTGGTTCATTCGTTATTGAGATATTAAATGTTGAACGTTTTATTTAAGAAAAAATAGAAAATTTGCTGTCGTTCATTTTAATGAGGAAATCAACAACGAATAATATCGGCGGAAACAAAGTCAACGAATTAATTATACGATGGAATCGGCCGATACTTGATAAAAATCCATGACTAACGTATTCTAAAATCACTTTATTGTGTGATTTTCACTAAACAGTTTTACAAAAACGCCATACAATAACTAATTCTACACACTCAATGCTATATATATACCTCATTCTACAATTTGAAGTACCTGAATTTCAAGTACCTGATTTTTTACCTAAGTTTGTAATGAATTAAATTACCTGTGCTTATGTTCCATTTTCCACATTTGAAAACATACTTATGATATATGCATGGTTTGGAACCTTTGGTGTAGTAATGAATATTACTGGAGTTTTTTCCCAACACCTCGACACGTGTTTCAATCACCAAGTAATCATCTTCAAAGAGGAAGATTAAACTAGAAACTAACGCGAAGCTAACGCTATTTATGCTATATAGATATCCCATCCAGGTAAACCATCTAGGTGTACTACCCATACAGGTATACCAACCTAAATTATTTCACAATTTTGCCTCATCTATTATTTCACAATATATGTTTAACTGTTCGTGGGACAACCAAGTCATCTCTTCCTCTTGTATCGTATTTGTGTATTTGATCGTTATATGTAATAAACTCATTGAAGTAATATGGTGCTTTTCCAGTAAGTATTTTGAATATGAATATCATAGAAAAATATTGTAATCTATCTTTTACTGTCATCCAATTCAGAATATTAATCATTGATAATATAGGAGTATATTTATGGCATTTTAATAACAAGCGCATCCCTCTGTTTTGTAATGTTTGTAGAGTAGAGATAGAATTACCTTCTAGTAATGATATCAAAGTAGCACAGTAATCAAAGTGTGGTAGGATTATTGTTTTATAAACAGTCAAATTAGATTGGAATGTAATTGTCTACTAATTCTAGTAAAGGAAAACAATTCTTTAGAAATTTCATCACACATATACTGGAAGTGTTTTTTTAAGTTCAAAGTGTTATCAACGATGAAGCCTAGGTATTTGAATTCTTTCACAATTTCTATAGTTTCGCCGTAGATCTCAATATTAATGGAGTTGATATCAATTAAGTTATATTTATATTGTGTTGTCGATAGCATAGCTTTCGTTTTAGTGTTATTCAGTTCGAGTTTGTTTATGTTAAAGAACTTCCCCACGTTCTCAAGTGTCAAATTAATTTTGCGTACAGCATTATGAATATCAGAGTCGTTTGCTGCAATGAGAGTATCATATGCAAAGAGGTTGATGAATTCACAGCCACTAATAAAATGTATGTCATTCGAATAAAGTATGAATAAAACAGGGCCAAGTACACTTCCTTGGGGGACCCCGGTGTCAATTGCTTTTTGGCTTGATAGGACGTTGTTTATTTTAGTACACTGAGATCTGTTGAGTAAATAACTTCTGAACCATAGCAACACCCTACCAGTTATTCCATAGTAGGGGAGACCGGGGCAAGATGAAGTTCGGGGCAGCACGGGAAGTAAGCTTAGTTCGTAACAACTTCACTCTTTCAAGGCAAGTTTCGAATATAAACTGAAGCTTTATATTTAATGAATAAACACCTCAGGAACCTCCGCCTATGATTTTACGAGTTTTACGACCGTTTTATGACTTGGGCCCTCATTTTGTGCTATCGATAAATTATGAACGGACTATAGTACCGGGAAGATACTCTTGAGAACCTTGTTATTCATTATATTAGTGTTACACTTGTTATCCAAACATGAAATAATTGACTTCAATTCCTTCAATGACAAACGTTTGAAATCGGACAAATTGCATCCAATCACTTCAAAATTTTCACATGATCATTGTACAGAAGCCGGAATTGTTGCTTCAATATCAAGAACACTTTCATTAAAAAAAATATTAAAGCTTTCTGCTTTATTTTGGTCTAACATCACTCTCTGTTAACCAACTCGGTGAAGGTCGTTTTATACTGTGATATCTCTAACAATGTACTCGATTACTGTAAATATCCATTTCGTATTGTGTTGAATAAATTGAAATTGAAAAGAAAAAACACATCTCAATTCCTTATCAAATAATTCATGTGGAAATCCGATCTCAAATGTGAGTCTAACTCATCAATGTTCATATAAAAGTAATTGCTTGGAAAGTAGTTCGTGTAATTCAATGTTTATATAAAAGTAGCTGTTTCGAGAAAGCTCTTTCTTCCAGTTTATGTCTGAAAGTTACTCCTTTGCATGATCTTCCTTGATCTGGAAGATTCCCAATATTTTGTATGCAGATCTCTCCTAAAATAATACCTCTTTCAACCCAAATCGAGGAACTTCTGCAAAGATTTCAACTCAACATTGTCATACCCACATTTATGCTCACCCTGTCCATGCATGGAATAATGAAAAAGAACTCACCGTTTAAAAATGAGCTGCAACTAGAAGACGATTCAACCCGACGAGCGTATTAGCTCTATTGAAGAACATGAGCCGACAAAGGAACGTCTACGATCGGACCAACAGGTTGGCGACGTATCTTTGACTGTTCCCGGAGCCGTCGGAAGCGGGCTCCGGGACTCGCGTCGGCGCCGCGACGCCCGATCAACATGTGCGACGGGCCGAAATCGTTGAACCAATTCATTCTAAGTGAAGTGAACGATCTCATGCTGGGTGTCTCGAACCAATGGTATAGTTCAAGTAAACGATATAGTGCACCTTACGTTTCAGCAGTTCCCCCAAAAAAATAGTTAGCAGTTTGAGTAGATCGTTATTTTACCAGGAACCCGTTACCAAAGATGATTGCCGAAGTAAAAGACGTTCTCAAGAAATGCGACAACATGCTTACCCCTCAACAGAAACTGAAGTTATAAGTTTCCAACCCAACGTTGTCGAAACTGTATTGCTTCCCAAAAATCCACAAACTGGGAAGATCAATGCGCCCCATCGTGTCAGCTATTGGAGCTCCTACCTACCAAATAGCAAAGTGGCTCACTAAGGAATTTGAAACCTTGTCTATTGCGGAGCCAAGTTTTAGTATAAAAAACTCTTTAGAGTTCATACAACATACAAAAANTGAAAGCGATAACATTGATATAGCATAAATAGCGTTAGCTTCGCTAGCTCGCATTAGTTTCTAGTTTTAATCTTTCTCTTTGAAGATGATCAATAATGAATTTATTTCCACCATTGATATAGAAGTGTCCAATCTCCATATAGTCTTTTACAACTGAAATTTCTTTTTTTTTTCTCTTCTGCCAGACTTCTTCGATAATGTTAGATACTTCTTCTTTAACAACTCTATCACCTTCTTATCAAATTTTGGAAAATTATTTTTACGCCTGATGCTTTGTTTCAATTTTCCCCTAATCAACTCGATGGGATTGAAAACACTAAAATAGGGGGGAAGTCCCAATATAGTGTGTCCATACTTTTCAGCAGTACTCTCAAGGGCATCCACTTTTTCAAATGTTTTTGTCCGTAAAATTTAAAGTAGTTGGTTTTTGTTATAGTTAACTTCAAAATACAAATTGTTATCCATTAAAAAACTTTGCATTTCATCTTTCCCCGAATGTTTATTCGGTACTTTGATGAACTGTCGCGAATGATAGAAAGCGTTGTCAAGAACTGTTACACCATTCGCATTCAAATTTGGGACCGATCTGTTTTCGAACCATTCCTCAAAAATATTAGCTTCCATGTTCTTATGATAGTCAACATTGCAGTCCTCAAGTTTTTTTCCACTTAATTTCAAAGAATTCGGAACCTATCCTTCACTTCCTCCGCAATATATGATGATTATTCGCAATCTTTTGTTTGCGGGCATGTTAGGCGTACACATTCTCGAACCATCAGTCCACCCTTTCGTAACTGTGTCGTGAGTGTCATACCAAGTTTCGTCCAAATAGAAAATTTGCCGTTGTTCTTGTCTATATTTAGTTATTTGTTCTGAGTATTTATTAAGCAAGTCCACTATTCTTCTGCTTTCCATAACTGCTTGACGTTTGTTTATTATTTTGAATCTAAATCCTAGTTTCCTTAGCCAATTCTGAAGAGTTTTTTCACAGCAGCTCACGTTATGGCCGAAAGTATTCAATTTCTTCCTTATGATTTCAATTGAAGAAATCTTATTGCTTTTGTGACAGTCGTATATTGTTTTTTTAATGATTTTATTAGATGAACATCTGAAGGTTTTGGTAATCCCGCATCACATCGCGTCTTGCGTTCATAAGGTTTGTTTTTGACTATTTCACGTACAGTTGAGAAAGAAATTTCGGTCAAATCTGATGTTGCTTGTAATAGTTTTTTCTCTCGAAACCAAACTAGAGATGTAGATTATTATATACATTGGAACATACTATCTGTGTTTCAATATTCAAAAGCATCCGAATCTTATTCACTGGTATCTCTTTTTAGCACTGTTCACCAGCGCTATTGGAATCACTACACAGGAAAAAGTCTGCGTTGTTATCATACTTGTTATTACTATTAGTACTTGTCCAAGGACGCCACATTTTAAACAAATAACAAAAATTTCAAGTAATTATAACTTCACCAATATCGAATTTCAACACTCAAATCGCGATCAGTTCCTGAGCTGAACATTGACGACACAACAGCGGTACTCATCGCTACATTCTATTGGTCACCGTAATATGACTTCAAATTTAATTTTATGACTCTTCAGCCAATCATAAAACTCGGTTAGTAAAAATTATCCAATACAAACCGCCAGTTCTTCAGTCCACGTGGACTAATTCGTAGCGGCATCATTTCTTTGTATTGGTTTTTTTGGCCTTTGAGTTCGCCGATAGCTTTAAGAATTACTATATCGGTTACTTCGACTATACTTTGGAGTAGACTCTTGAAACTAAGAGAATGTACAGGGTGGGGCACTCCATACGACACGGTTTCCGTATACCAAACCATTAATTCTTTCGGGAATTTCTACATTTTACTATACAGTGTATAAAAGCCAAATAGAATAAATTCATTATTCCGGTAACGGTACATATTTTAACAAAATCCCAAAACACGTCAAATTTAGATTATAATTTGACATACTTCAACGGAAAAATGCTACCCTTGCCTTCAACCCCCGTCGAACGACAGGTAAAACCCCCAATTTTTTAAACGGGAAGTGTAGGTTTGTGATAAATCGTTTGAAAGGTATCTTCATTCTCTATTCAAAAATGATATCGCTTTCAAATTTATTACAACAATTTACATCAAAAGAGGGATCATCACTACTAATCATAATGTTTTGATAAAATAAAAACAACAATAAAAATTAATTGGCGCTCCGGGGCAACTTCATTGATTCCAGTGGCGCATTTGCTTTTTCAGCTCCAGGAAACCCGGAAAAACCTGCAGTACCACATCATCTGAAGATCTTGATCTAATTGTATAATTATAATTGCAACAATTATGATAAAATGAATTAAAATCAAATGGTTACCGAAATTCGATATAATACACTCAAAACTTATTGCAATATACTCAAAACTTATTTCATGTTAAGGTATTGACAATACCTCAAAGCCATAGCAATGTTCTTTTAATATGGTACCCTTTAAAAAACTGTAAATAATGTTCGTGGTGACGTTAGTTCAAAACGCCTTGTCAACTTGTTTTCTATTTTACATTAGTTGTCAGTATTTTAATTCAAGTTTGAAGTTCGTTAACGTCAAGTCTGATAAATGGTTAGATTAACGGAAATGCATAAAATAATAGTTATACAAATTATACAAATTCACAGTTTTTTAAAGGGTACCATATTAAAAGAACATTGCTATGGTTTTTACGTACTTTCTGATTGTCAATACCTCAACATGAAATGAGTTTTGAGTATATTACAATAAGTTTTGAGTATATTTTATCGAATTTCGGTAACCACATGGTTTTAATTTATTTTATCTTAAATATTGAAATAAACTTGAAAGCGATAACATTTTTGAATGAAGAATGAAGAGACCTTTCAAACGATATATCACAAACCTATACTTCGCATTTAAAACATTGGGGGTTTTACCTGTCATTCTAAGGGGGTTGAAGGTAGGAGTGGCATTTTTACGTTGAAAAATGTCAAATTATAATTTACATTTGACATGTTTTTTAAAATATATACAGTAACCGAAGTAATGAATTTAATCCATTTGGCTTTTACACACTGTAATTTTAATATCCATTTATTGTTTACCGCCTAATCCGTACTACGTAAAATTGCGAAAAAAAGTGTCTATTTCCTTTTTTCTTTCTTTGTCATTCACCGATTCAAACTTTACGCAGATACGATGCCTCCCACCGGTCATGACTCAGTCCGGTAGGGGTAAGTCTCTTGTAGTTAAAATATAAATACAGTCTCTCATAAATATCTGCCAATCACACCAGAACGTAATACGATACGGCACAGTACGCCACTGAGCATTGCAAGACCTTTTGCTGACAGGTTTTAATTTTCCAGAATTTCATCACTGTCCGGAAATGACTGAAATTATTATCGATTGTCAGTGGACAGCAATGCGGAGTTGACCATGTGACCGGATATTGCAAAGTTCACCAAAAAGGTTATGGAAACAATTACATGCACAAATAGAAAAGAGCAGCTGTTATTCAACGAGAATCCCTAAGTAGAGTCTTCAAATTGTATTCCATTTTATTGAAAAGTTATAGTAAGAATGAATATAACAATATTTCGTCAGAAGAGGACTTTTGATTAATATAAGATTCATTGAATAGAACTGACCGATACTTGATCAAAATCCGTATTGAAAAACTAATCTCTCTTTGGTTTCTGTAGAGTAGGGAGGGTAAGTGTAGACACACAGCACTCAGGCCACATGTGACCCATTGTACATCCTCCCGAGGAGTTGTCCTCCTAGGTCATCGTCCATCCTGTCCTTTCCAGAAAGGTGAACAGTTCACTAGGAGACATCTCCTTTATATTGACAGGTGCAGGCCAAGACTCGCCGAATACACACTCTCTTTGGCAACCTTGAGGTGTCTCACGGTGGCCTCCGCGAAGGTTTTGGAAGGTGCAGCAATATTACTGTCGTTGCGCGGCTTCTTCAACCTTCATGGGGTTCCCTCCGTGGATTCGTTGTTTCAAAAGGTTTGTCAATATTTTAGTGTCATTTTCAAAAACGTTACTCTACAACAATACAGCGATAATGAATATAAATTCCTTATATATTTACAGGAGCATCATCTGGGTCTATTTGAACATCGGAAAATTAAAAAAACTAAAAAATGCTTCAACTAGGTCAAGTATAGTACTCTGGTTTGCGAAATATCGTTCCAGAGATATCGTCCACAAAAATGAGCCCTGAATATGACCTGCAGTAATCCAGGACGAGGAATTGAGGACTCTGTTGAAGACTAACCTACCGCAGACGGAGGTTATAACTTTCTTCAAACGGGCCAAACCATCACAGCAGAGTCCCTGTTCTGGGGATATCGACGTAATGTTTCGAAAATTAAACGTCGATATTTTGCATCGATCACCATATTTCCCAGACCCCTCGCCAACTGACTACCATCTTTTCAAGCATTTCGATAACTTCCTCACCGGTAAAACTTTCGCCAATCAGGACCAGAAAAATCGGGCTTCGTCGACTTCATCGAACAGTTAGGAACAAAACTTTTAAAACAATCCAATAA